CTTACTGAGACTCATAGTTTAACTACAGACCGAACTAGAAGTTCAGGTTTGAGACGGAACACTGTGTGTTTTGCGTTTAATAGAGATGGAGAGAAAATGAAACTTCCTGTTGGTGCGTTCACTGTCATTCGGAAGTAAAATCAAAACAATCTCACCCTTTATTTCAACAAATAATTATCTCACAATTTTTCCTTCTCTCAACTGACAATGTAAAGTAAAGCATATTTTGGTCCGCATTGTGCGACTTGTTTGCACACTCGTCCGCACCCCTGAATAAATTTGAAATTCCAGCTGCCCACGAATGCAGCACCGCGTTCTGGGTCAAAGCTACAGTCCAAACCTACAAAAGCACAACAAGCTGAATCTTACGTTGTGGTATGATAAATACCACAATGTAAGAGGGAAAGTTCCAGAAAGTAATCATAAAGTTATGTGAAACATTATTTGATGTAGGGATACTATACAGTTCATAGATGTTCATTTTAACACTTATATCAAACTTCTGGGCCTGTATTGAGTTACCACAGGTGTCTGCATTACAACCACTTTTTTGTCGCAACCAGTTATGTATAGAAGAGACTAAACAGTACAGTTTCCTGAACCTCAGAGACATTTTTCATGTTGTTCAGCAGACTAAGTAATCGCCTAGGCTTGATAGTCCTACTCAAATGAAACATAACCTAATCTCTGCTAATGTTGCTGTGTTTTTATGTTTAGTCACACAAGCTGTTATAAATATCTGGTGAGAAAATAATAAAATACTAAGTTGGGATGTGAATTTTAAAAAAAGTAATTTATCACCACCTGCTTTCCAAGTGTTTACAAGACTGTTAAAATTTTCATCACCAAGCTCAACAATCTGCATTTTCAGATTTTTGAGGAACCACCGAAAAGGTTGATGACCAACTACACAATTTATTTTTCTTTTAAGACACACACAGTACCAACTACAAAACCATATTTTAAAAATTACAAGTTTATTACACAAACAATTTAAAAGCAACAAAACAGGATGACTGCTGTAGATTTTGGGATTTTGTCTCATTTCTTGCTGAAACAAAGTCCAACATGAAGGCAAGAAAACATGTTAATGCAAAACAGTAGTTTTGCATTAACTACTGTTAATGCAAAACTACATTTTGCATTAACATGTAGTTTAATGCAAAATGTAGTTTTGCATTAAACTGCATTAAACTACAT